GACTCCTGTAGTTTCTTGGCGGGAAGGTTCTCGAAAGCCGCGATCCGGCGGCATTTGGCGGGCGATGTAACAATCTCAAGGTCACTGTCCGAGTCGTCTTTCTGATGGCGTGCCACTTCTTCTCGTGATAGCCTGACGCGGACCGCAGGCAGGTTCAGGGCCTTCTTCTCTTTGAGGTGTGTTGCATCTATTTTCTGACCTGTCGACTCCACCTCCATTTGAGCCACAACCGGTTGCTCGGGCTGCGTCGGTGGGTTGGCGAGAATCTCCTTGAGCGTCGGGAATTCGGGCTCAGCTGGATTCTCGTCTGTTTCCTTTGTAGCAGACACCTTGTCCGCCGGCCCCAGGACCGGCGACGTCCGGGGCGTCTCCTTGTCTTTCTGTGCCTCGACATCCGACGAATTCTGCGAGCCCGCCGCGCTAGATGAGGTTTCGCCAGCTGGGGGTGCAGCTTCTTGGGGGACAGCCGGCTGTCCGAAGTTGAACCGCGCGAAGAAGCTCTCCTTGGTGATCTTCTTCTTCGTCTGCGCCTGATGCGCCAGCTGCATGTTACGGCTCATCCGCTGCGTCTCGCGGTTCATCTCCTCCAGGGCCTTTTTGCTGGCCTTGCGCGCCGCAGGCCGCGTCTGCTGTTGCTTTTTGGCTGTGGCTTCGGCGCCCGATGATGCACCGTCGCCGTCGCCCTCACTCGCAGACAAAACCATCTCCGAATCAGATTGTCCCTGCTGCCTCGCAGCCCGCGCGGCAGCCCGTCTCTCCGCCTCAGCCTGTTCCTTCTCCTCGCGCTCCTTGCGCTTCTGCGCCACGAGAGCCAAGAACCGGGCGTTCTTCTTCGGTTGCTGTGCTTCGTCCTCGCCGTCCGTCGTGTTGGCATTGTCCTCGACATGGTCCCGCCCCTTGACAGGCGACGACACGAAAAGCGGAGAGTACGCGCGGGTCCGCGGCTCCTCATCATCTTGATCGACTGCAGGCTCGGGAAGTACGGTGGTAATCCCTCTCCGTCGCGGACCAGCCGTCGGGAGATCGTCATCGTCATCGTCGTCGTCGTCGTCGTCCTTCTCCTCCTCATCGTGTAACGCCCTCTTAACCCTCTCAAACGCAGTCGTCCCCGATTGACCATTAGTACCTTGTAACCGCGCCGCCATCCGCCCCTTAGGCCTCACAATCTCATCCTCCTCCTCATCCTCAACGTCAACCATCGGCGCACCAAACGAGGAAATCGAGCTCTTCTTCAACGCGTCGCTGAGCTTGGTCGTGGAGCGATCTCCCCCCGCCCCAATTCCTTTCTGCGTAGCATTATTACGGTTCCTGTCCTCACCACCGGAATCGCTATCGCTATCAAACGCAGCGAGCATGGCTTTGATCTTGCGGCCCGGGGTGAGGAGCATTTCGGTGTCTGTGCCGGGGGACGCGGCGCGCGTCGAGCGCGGTGTGGAGGGTGTGGAAGCGGACATTATATCGTATGTTTTCGGGCAGGGGTATCATAGACGTTGCGTTTTAATTTTGAGGGAGGGTGGAGGTGATCATTTCCGATTGTTAATGGGAAGGGTAAGGTAGGGGAAACTGGCTGTAATCTGGAGAACGTGAAGTGGACTAAGGGTCAGTGAGAGTGGTTGCGTTAAGTTAATCAAGGGCGCCGCGGAGATGGATTCTGCGGGCGGACGGACGGGTAGGCGAGGAAGACGCGCCGCGCGCGCGTTGGCGTCGGGGGTCGGGGGTTGTTATCGCACGTGATGTGGGTGACTGGTTCGCTTATCGCTCACGTCTATACTACACTACACGTACAGTACGTACAGGGCAGTATCTACGCATGACTGTTTTGAGGAAGGGCGGTGTTCAACGTGCATGGTTGGTTTATTTGCATTGCATTGCATGGGGGAGCTTTAAAAATACAGCGCGCGCCGTGTGTGTGGATTTCTTTCTCATTTGGACGCCAATGAACGCCAATTCCCTAGCACAAGAAGACGAAGGAAGGAAGGTAGAGAGAGAAGGGAAGTTGAAAAAAAAAAAAGAGAAAAGAGAAGCGAAAGTGTACAATCAAACGGGGAAAACAACCGACGCTGTAGTAAATGCTTTCGAATGCATTCGAAAATCCGAAGTTCCTGCCTGTCCCTGTTTTTGTTTCTCCCTCCAATATACTATGGCGAGCATCGATGGCACAAATTTGATGGTCGCATGCAAAGTCTCGGTCGATGGAATCCTCAGTGGTGGCTGTGATGTGACCATGTTATCGCTGGGATGGCACAGCTAGATCTCGATATCCAATTCTATATCCAACGCGGCGATATTCTCGTCGTCCATGTTGCGATGGCGGATGGCGCCGCTCTTGACGGCTTTGCGCTGGCTGGCGCCGAGCGGGGTGCCCGCGGTGGGCGTGCTGGCCTTGGATGGCGTCCCCGAGGCCGAGGTGTCCTGGCTGCCGCCCTCTCCGGGCTTGGTGGGTGACGGGATCGTGTTGCCGTTGACGTCGTAGTGCGTGCGGGCCTGGGTGCGCACCCGCATGAAGGGGTTGAGCGTCGCCTCGCCACGGGCCACCGCCGCGGCGGCCTTGCGGCTGGCCTTCCGCTCCTCGAGCTGGGCGCGGCGGACGTTCTCGTAGTTGAGCTTCTGGTTGCGCAGGTTCAGCTCGGCCAGACGCTCGTGCTCGGAGGGTTTGTCGGCGCGGGGCCGCGACAGGCTGGTGCCGTGGGCGACCTTGGGCGCCGCCATGCTGTTCAGCTCGCTCTGCAGCCGCTCCGCCTCGGCCTCGTCGCCCGCCGCTTTGGCCAGCTTCAGCTGCTTCTCCACGTCGACGCGCTTGAAGAATTGCGACTTGGTGTCTAACGACCCCTGCTTGCGTAGCTTCTCGTTGAGCTCCTCGTTGGTGAACTTGTGGTTCAGTAACCGGTTGATGTCCGCGACTTTGCTGCCCACCTGGGATTTCGTAGCCATCTTGCAGTCTTCAATGGCCATGGTCTGGCGGTAGCGATTGAACTCGGCCTGGGAAGCATTAGTCTATGTGGCGAGACCTCTCGAGACTGAGGATACCAACTTCTGTGAATGGGGAATCCGAGCAAGCAATGAAGGGGAAGCTTTTCTCGGCCTTTCCGTGGGCCAGCACGGCGTACTGATTTGTGGCGAATGAGCGGCCATTTGGCCCCTCCATGGCGTACATGGGGCCTTCCTCGACGATTTCTGCCATCGTTAGCCATGAATCCGGCACGAAACCGGGGGGCGTCTTACTCTTGATCAAACACAGACGGTACTGGTTTAATCCCGTATCGCGGTTGGGACCGACGTTCACACGAGCGTAGCATCCGGCGATCGCCTCCTCGAATCCAGGGTAGAAACAGACCTGCGCGAAATTACTGCGACCGACGCGCGTACGCTGGATATCTCGCAGTTCGGCCGGCGGATCGTCCTTGGGAGGAGACGGGGAGCGTTCCCGATCGTCCCATTCGACTTCACTCTCGCCTTCGGCGTCCTCATCCGACAGCCTATCATCCCGGGAGCGGGCCTTCTGATCCTTCGCGGCGGGATCCCGACGGCGGAGCTCGTCGCGTTTGCCCTTCTGCTCGCGCTGCCGCTTGTAGGCCTCGATCGCCTCCGACGTCTCCCCGACTTTGCGACCACCCAACGTCGTCTTCTGCCGCGAGCTCTTGCGGTTGCCCTCGTCCAGGTTCGCGGCGCTCGCCTTCCGCTTGTTCTTCTTGGCCTTGCGGGCTTCCTCCCGCTCCCGCGACGCTAGCAGACGGCGGAGGGCGAGATCCTGGTTGTGACGATCCACCTCCTGCGCACGTTCCGATAGGATCTGCTCGCGCTGAATCTCGGGCATCGCCATGATCTCCTCCTTGTCTTTGGCAGAGTAATAGAGCTTCTCGTAGGGGAACATGGGCCCGTCATCTTCGCCTATATCGGCGGATCCTTCCGAGTCGGACGCGGAATCGGATTCGGACATGCTGGCAGAGTCAAGAGATTCGGCGGCAGAGCTGATCGGGAGCGGGAGCACACACCGTGTTAGCCAGCGGGCGCCTTTGATTGTGTGGCGGGCGGACTTCCCCAAGGTGAACACCGGAGGGCAGCTTGTGGGTAACACTTACAGCTCACCGTCCTCGTCGTCATCATGACGGGACTTTCGACTACGTCGCGCCGGTTTGGCGATGCCTTTGCGACCCATGGTGGATGATGCGGCGGGTGATTGTGGTGGTGGTGAAGATGAAGAAGGGCGATCCGGGGAGGCGGCCTTTTCTCTGGTGGGCGGGGACGACTCCTCATCTGAGGAGTCACCCGCCAGGGCGAGAAGCTCCGCATCGAGATCATCCGCCATGGTGAATTGAGGGTAGGGTGAAGTGTGGCCTAAAGCGTGCGGGACCGGGTGGTGCGAGCCCTAGCAAAAGTGGCGCTGGCTCTCAGATGCAAAACCAAAAGAGCCCAATCAACCCCGGCGTTGTCGACCGGCGCACTCGAGGTGGTATATATCGTCTAGACGGGCTGTCGCTGAGCAGATATGAAGTCCTTGAGATGGCCACAGGGGAAGTCGAATTGGGGCGAAACCGCGCTATATAGGACCGGGGGTGCGCAGTGAGAGAACGCTGACAAAGATCGATCTAAGGTTGCCTATTTATATAGTGGTGATAGCGCGGAGACCATAGGGGATATTGTTGAGAGTGGGCGCGTGAAGGATGGACAATGTCGCAGGGGGTCAGAATTAAAACATTCGGTATCGGGAAGTGAAAAGAAGCGCCTGGCGAAGTTCACGATCCTCACTTGTTCATGACGTTCCGCTCCAGGGTTGGCGTGCCAAGGCGGTAAGCGCGCGGCTGCGGCTTTTGCTGGACTTGAATGGAAAATGGGTTGAGCCACCTCGGAAAGCATGGCAGCATAAGGCACTTGCTTGTCTACAGTAAAGGTGAGCATTCCTTAATCTTCTAAAGAATCTAGACAGCGCATTAAGCTCTTTCATTCGCGACAGCCATTCCTTTTGTTTAACACTCCATCCACCCATTTCCGAGAGTTTCACAATGCTGGCCAGAACTTCCCTTGCCGCATCTTTCCGACCGACGGCGGCGACCACCATACCCGTCGTGCTCGACTTCCTCGCACCATCCACGCTGCAGCAGAGCCGTCGCCTGTACCACTCCACCACCACCACCAATCACTCCGCTGCACCATCCGCTCCCAGCCCGCCGTCCCCAACCGACCATCATGGCGCCCGGAAACCGAGATACGCCCTCACCGCGAAGCAGCGCGAATTCCTCGACAGCGCGCTGCGGGTCAACCAAGCCGGCGAGCTGGCGGCGACGCTGATCTACACGGCGCAAACGCCGCAGGTGGTGCGCTCGCACCCCCACCTGCGCCCGCTGATGAAGCACATGTACGACCAGGAGGTCGGGCACTTCAACACATTCAACCAGCTCATCGCGAAGCACCGGGTGCGGCCGACGGCGATGTACCCGGTCTGGTACGCGGCGGCGACCTTCCTGGGCTGGTCCACGGGCGTCCTGGGCCGGGAGGCCGCCATGGCGTGCACGGAAGCCGTCGAGACGGAGATCGGATCGCACTACAACGACCAAGTCCGCGAGATTCTGTCGTGGAAGGCCGAGGCGGAGCGCCGCGGCGAGGAGCTGGACCCGGAGCTCGAGGAGATGCTGGCGAACTTCCGGCGCATCCGCGACGAGGAGCTGGAGCATCTGGATCACGCGGTGGAAAATGATGCCAAGGAGGCGAAGCCGTACGATCCCTTGGTTAATTTCATCCGCTATGGATGCAAGGCTGCCATCAAGATTAGCGAGAAGGTCTAGACTGGAGTCACCCCATTTCGGGAGGTGTTCGGAGCTTTGCAACATGATTTGTTTCCGGCAGCTGTGGGGAAGATCCCGGCTTTTACGGCAATTGTGTGTACGATGTACGATGTACGATACATTGATGTTGCCTACTGTATCATATTCTAGTCCATATGTGTTGTCTATAAGATGCATCGACAATTCGCTCCGGTCTATCTTCGCTGCAAAGCAAGTCGCTCAGGTGGTGGTGGTGGTCTATCATATCTCAACTCGCAACTGCTCACAAGAAGCATGCGATCCCTACCTCCTCGCGCGGCGATGTCGTGAACCCGACCACCGCCTCTTTACTCCTCCTGCGTCTCCTTCTCAAGGTACTCGACAAGGTTCCTCGAAAACCGCGTAACCTGCTCATAGACCTCCTTAAACCCATTAACCCCACCATAGTACGGATCCTGCACCACCTCGCCTCCGCCCACCCGCTCATGCAGGGCGCCGCCTTCCCCGAAATCCCCGAACAGGCGCACCTCGGCCACCTTGGCGGCGCCGGCGGCGCCGGATTTCTTGGTGGCAGCGGCCAGCACGGCCTCGCGCGTCTCCTGCAGATCGCGCAGGTTGTACTTGTCCATCGCCAGGACATAATCAAAGGTCAGGAAGTCCTCCTTGGTCACCTTGCGCGCGGCATGGACGTAGCGGGTGATGCCGTGGGCGCGCAGCGTGGTCATCGTGCGGTGGTCCGGGGACTCGCCGGCGTGGTAGGCGCCCGTGCCGGCGGAGTCGATCTTGTTGATGAGTGGGTGTGAGGCGGCGACGTGGCGGAAGACGCCTTCGGCCATGGGGGAGCGGCCTGCGAGCGGTGTGGTTAGATGATGCTTGTACAGTACTATACTTGTGGAGTTTGGGGTGTGGTGAGTGCGGGGGGAGATTGGGGGTGGTTGGGGCCTCACAGATGTTGCCGAGGCAGACGAAGAGGACGTTGATTTGTTGTCCTGTGGGTGTGGTGTTGGCAGACATGATGTGCTATTGTCTATTATGGTGTAGTCTAAGATGGGAGCAAAGAATAAGGGAGGCGAGGATGGTTGAGGGAGTGAATGCTTCTCCGCCGGGCGGGGGAAGCGGGCGACGGCGCAGAATCTTATCGATAGTGAGCTGGTGCCTGAGGCGCAAGGCAGCTTTACGCGTCACATGGAGGGCTGGCTGTACCTGACTGACTCTTGCCACATGCGCTTGTTGGCTGCTGGCTGCTGGCTGCTGTACCTTTCCGGTTTGTCATCCTCGATTTACCTCTCGACTTTAGGCGGTCGAACCCAACATGTTACATAGTATTATGTATCTGCGACCTGCGGTAGTGAGGGATTTGACGTGCGTTTACAGTCCCGCTTGTTGTCAGGGGCATCGGTTCTTGAAATTCCGATTCACATCTCAGCGTTGTTGGTCGACATTATACGGGATCTACTCGCAGTGTCCATGGTGAACTAGAGCCCAATCACTCCCGCCCAGGAATACACTGAACTACAGAAGCACATTGCTGCACCGCAATAAGATACCGGGATCTGGGCTATACTGATCCAGAGAGGATACGACATCCAATAAAGAATGGTTTACGAATACGAAGGAGATAAAGTGAGACACACGGATGAACTATGACGTCGCTAGTTGGGGTTCAGAAGCTAACTAACGAATCCCCAGGCAACGACTTTCCTGAGCGACCGATAGATAGGGCTTGAGATTCTCTCAGCCGATAAGAGGCAAGATAATTTTAGCCTGGGCCGTCAGCCTGCCTTGCGGATATAAAAAGCCAGCCAGTGCCACACTGCCCTGTGGCTGTGAAGACAGAGGCTGTCCTACGGTTGGCCCAGTGACCATCAGTGGAGACCGGAACAGCCATGGCGCTCCTGCAAGTTGATCAACGCTAACCATTTTTTGCCAGGCAAATCGGTATCAGGGACGCATTTTTGTGTATCACCATTCGATGATGAAAAATGTGACAGCCTGGGACAAGTGAGACTCTGGGGAACAAACTGGGTTTTCGGAGTTTGAGCTCTGAAGAATGTTGCCCGGAAGACGCTGCAGAGTGGCCATATCAAGGCATCGATCCCACACCTCGTCATCTGCATCGTACTCGGTCGCCCGAGTGGAGCCTGCACCCTGTTTGTTATGATGCTGATCGAGCCGTCAAGCGTAATCTCATTAATCAATTCATCAATCACCCGCCTGAGGCTAGTTATCTGGACTGATCGTCCCCGCCGTTCCTTGGTCAACGGGCTTCATCTTTTTCCCGTCGACAAGCGTACAGCGTAATAGAATAACCATTGTGGTTTGTTTGATTGTAACTAACCAGCAACTACACTTTGTAAGCTACTCGAGTAGACGAAGACAATTGCGGGTAGCCCCAACAGGTGACCGTGGCACTGCTTTCTACCTCGCCCTCCCCCTCCCCCTCCCCCACCCCCTCCCCAATAAACTTATCCCATCCCAACCCCCGGTACGAGAAAAAAAATAAGCCACCTTCAATCCACTCAATATCAATCAATTCGTTCCAAAGTATCTTCCGTTTCCCTTTTCCCTTTCACATTTCTTGGTTCCTCCGTTTCCTTTTCTCCGTCCTCGATCGTCCTCGGACTTAATCTCGCCTATCGCATCTGAAACTCCCGTCGCGACCCCGGATCCTTATTCTCTCTCTCTCCATCACAACAGCAGCCCGTCTGCTCACTCCCACATTCCATCAGCCCGCTCGGCGCAATTTGCACCCCCCAGCTTCCCTGGCTAGGAATTCACAAGGGGCATTGCCATCGAAACGATTAATTTTCCGACTCACTATCGGCCAACATGTCATATAATCGCTTGGGTAAGTTCCGATCTGTCGGTGAAGCCGTGTTGCGCGGCAGTGGGTTTTGTCGCGCATTTGTCCCCTTCTCCGCAACCAGCCTCCCAACTTGAAACTCTAGTTGAAGAGGTCGATCAAGGAAGCTGCTGCTGCTCCTGCTCCTGCTGCACAAGTAGGCAGTCTTCTCGTACTCGCTCGTATCCTGGTGCGACAGGGCGACAGGCGAGCCACCTCAGCTAGAATACGTTTGCCGTCGCACTTGCTTTCTTCTCATTTCCCTCGCGCATTGCACTCCAAGCGGTCATATCTTACTGATCATTGACTACAGGAGACCCTTACGGGGAGGAGGAAACCCACACTCCCATGATGCATCCCCACCAATTAGATGCCCGGTCTCCGTCACCGGGTCGGCCACTGAATACCTATCAGTTGACCGACAACCCGTATCCACAAGAGCATCTGGAGATGCCCTCTAGCGACCGACTAGCCGAGCAACCGACAGTAAGAACTGCTATCGCACTGTTGACACCGCAACGAAGAGCTAATCAACGGCATTGCGACATGTAGTACTCGGTCGAACGACTGCCCAACTCCTATGGTCACAATGAGGCCTACGAGCACCACCAACCGCAGGCTTACCCCGGCTATGAATATTCGATCGATCCCGAAGCACATCACGATGCGTACTACACTCAGCCCTACCACCCAGCGGTGACACCGGCGCACGACGATGATTACGATCTCGGACAATACCCGGAGCATCAACCGCAGCATCAGCACACGTACAGCGACGACCATGTACCCATCCTGCAGCCGGACAATCCGTTCGGGCCGGACCCGTACAGCGACGAATACGAAGAGGATCCTACGCTGGCCCCGACCCATTCGCCCAGTCCGGTGCCCGTGCGACGATGGAAGACCGTGAAGGAGGTCCAGTTGTTTAACGGGAACCTCGTGCTGGACTGTCCGATTGCCCCCAAGCTGCTCAGCCAAGTGCCGCACGCCGAACCCCCGGGCCGCGACGAGTTCACCCACATGCGCTATTCCGCCGCCACGTGCGATCCGGCCGACTTCTTCGAGGAGCGCTTCACGTTGCGTCAGAAGCTGTTCGCCAAGCCCCGACACACGGAGCTCTTCATCGCCGTCACCATGTACAACGAGGATGACTTCCTGTTCGCCCGCACGATGATTGGTGTCTTCAAGAACATCGAGTACATGTGCTCGAGGACGAGCAGCAAGACCTGGGGCAAGGACGCCTGGAAGAAGATCGTGGTCTGCGTGATCAGCGACGGTCGTGCGAAGATCAACCCCCGGACGCGCGCGGTGCTAGCCGGTCTGGGTTGCTACCAAGACGGCATTGCCAAGCAGCAGGTCAACGGCAAGGATGTGACGGCGCACATCTATGAGTACACGACCCAGGTGGGGCTGGAGTTGAAGGGCACGCAAGTGCACCTCAAGGGCCGCACCGGGGTTCCCGTGCAAATGATATTCTGTCTGAAGGAGAAGAACCAGAAGAAGATCAACTCGCATCGGTGGTTCTTCCAGGCCTTCGGGCGCGTGCTGGACCCCAACATCTGCGTCTTGCTTGACGCCGGTACCCGTCCTGGCAAGGACTCGATCTACCATCTCTGGAAGGCGTTTGATGTCAACCCCATGTGCGGCGGTGCCTGCGGAGAGATCAAGGTCATGTTGGACAAGGGCAAGAAGCTGCTTAACCCGCTCGTCGCGGGACAGAACTTCGAATACAAGCTCAGTAACATTCTGGACAAGCCGCTGGAGTCGGCGTTTGGATTCATCAGTGTCTTGCCCGGTGCGTTCTCGGCCTACCGGTACGTGGCGCTGCAGAATGATAAGAACGGACAGGGTCCGTTGGAGCGCTACTTCGCCGGCGAGAAGATGCACGGTGCCAACGCCGGCATCTTCACGGCCAACATGTACCTGGCCGAGGACCGGATCCTCTGTTTCGAGTTGGTGTCCAAGCGCAACTGCCGCTGGCTGCTGCAGTACGTCAAGTCGTCCACGGGCGAGACGGATGTGCCCGATCGCATGGCGGAGTTCATCCTGCAGCGGCGTCGTTGGCTGAACGGTAGTTTCTTCGCGGCGGTCTACGCCATTGCCCACTTCTATCAGCTTTGGCGGAGCGATCATAGCTTTATGCGCAAGTTCATGCTCTTGATCGAATTCATCTATCAGACGATCAATATGCTTTTCGCATGGTTTGGCATTGTAAGTACTCTGCCAAATCCAGCGGTTTCTTCTAAGCAGATGACTAACGTAGTTTTCAGGGCAATTTCTTCTTGGTCTTCAAGATTCTCACCTCGTATCTGGGCGACTCGTCGCTCCTAGGCACGGTGGGAAAGATTCTTGGCGTGGTCTTCGAGTGGCTCTACCTGGCAACATTGGTAACCTGCTTCGTCCTCGCGTTAGGTAACAGACCCGGTGGGTCCAACAAGTTCTATATGACGATGGTCTACTTCTGGATTTGCATTATGATCTACCTGGCATTTGCGGCGATCTTCGTGACCGTGAAATCGATCGAGGAGCAGGTCAAGGACAACAGCTTCACCTTCTCCGACCTCTTCACCAATTACCAGTTCTTCTCGATCATCGTCTCTCTCGGCTCCACATATGTGATGTGGTTCCTGGCCTCCTTCATCTTCCTCGACCCCTGGCACATGTTCACCAGTGTAAGTATCAAGTCCGCACCCCTTGACCGCACCCGCTGACCCAAGAACAGTTCATCCAATACATCCTCCTCACGCCCACCTACATCAACGTCCTGAACATCTACGCCTTCTGCAACACCCACGACATCACCTGGGGCACCAAGGGCGACGACAAGGCCGAGAAACTGCCGTCCGCCAACCTGAAGCCCGGCGGCAAGGTCGACGTCAACATCCCCCAGGACGACGGCGATCTCAACGCGCAGTACGAAGCCGAGCTGGCCAAGTTCGCCACCAAGCCCCCGAAGGAGGTACCCTCCGTCTCCGAAGAGGATCGGCAGGCCGACTACTACAAGGGTTTCCGCAGTGCGGTCGTCCTGGCCTGGGTGTTCTGCAACTTCGCCCTGGCGGCGGTGGTGCTGAGCGCCGCGGGGCTGGAGACCTTCGACAGCGACACGGATGCGACGCAGAACAAGCGCTCCACAATCTATATGTCTGTTGTGCTGTGGAGTGTGGCCGGACTGTCCATCTTCAAGTTCATCGGGGCGATGTGGTATTTGGTTGTACGGATGGTATGTCTTCCCCCCACTCTGTCTTCCTGTTATCATCATGACACAAGCTAACCTTGGCGTGTAGTTCCGCGGAGAGTAAACGATGGGAACGGTTAGTTTTGGAGAGCGAGCCAATTTCGATGTCGATGCCGATGTGGCGGGGTCTGTCTGTCCCGATAACCCCTAAGAGAATTTGGGCGTGATCGCCCGCGGGCGAGAGGGGCGTAGTAGACCCTGTTGGTCAGTGAGTGAAAATGAAAAAAAAACAACAACAATTGGTGGAAGACCACATAACCACCTACCGTCAATCGGCCAAATGCTTTCTTCTTGTACGGGGCACTTAGCCTGTCCTCTGGGTCCCTTGCACCGTTGGAGACGCGGGGATGGTCGTGAAGTTCCCCTGCGTATTTTATTTTCGTCGCCGCGGTTCTCGCTTGGGGCATGGAGGGCTCGGACGATGCTCGGTCATTGCGCTCGCAATATGTAGGAGCCGGCGGCGCGAGGGGAGGCATTTGGCTGGGAGGACAGGAGTCGATACTGCTGCTGCTGACTTGAGAATCCTTGTGGCAATGACCGGTGAAGCGACTCGGTGTCAGGGACGGCGACCGAGTATCCAGAACGCCTATCCCAGTGGTATCCATGCCGCCGGCCCCCAGGGAGGAAGGCAGCGAGACACTGGAGGACGCCGCGTGCGCTGCTGGACGCATCAGCTCAGCTCAGCAATCTCCCTCAACCTACAGCCCGGCAACACCGGACCACCCACCGTTCCGCGGCGCAGCCGCCTCATCCAGCGCCACACCCAACGACGAGACCGACCCCCGGCTATCCTCGTGTCCGTGTCCATATTCCCCAAACCGTGGAAACGAGACCATCCCCGTTGTCGTCGTGGTCCACGACCGAAACATCTCCTCCAGCATGTTTTCAGTGTCCTCCCTGGCACCGCCGGATGCTATCGTGCTCTCCGCCTCGATCCCAGTAGTGTGCCGCCCGTTCCCGGCCCCAGCAGGCGGAGAACTACCCATCGGGGCGCCATTAATCGTGAACTGGATGTGACTCGCAGTCGGAATATCATCACCAGCTCGTGGTGGCGAGGAAACCCCGGGGTGGGCTGTCGTTTCGGCCTCGATTCCATCCAGCCCTGCAGCTGCTGCTGCCGCTGCAGCACCACGACCCGCCACCTCAGCCGGGGTCTCCTTCCGCTTGACCCGCCATTTACGCTGGATTCGTATCCCTGGGTACGGGTACGCTGGCTTCGGCGCCGGTGGCAAACTTCCGAAATGCACGGTATGGCGCTTGCGGTTTGTCCCCGGCGTGGTGGTGGTGGTCGTCGTCGTCATCAAGTCCAAAGCTGCGGCGTTCTGCTCCAGCTCGGTGAGCGGGAGAGCGCTGCGGTAGCCCCGGAATGCTTGGAAGCCCTAGATTTCCTCACAGCGACGCGCCAACATGATTAGATCGAAGTGCACGCAACAATGAATGGACAGGGGTGAGTGAATCGGAAGAGACAAGAACAATGCGGACTGGGGCTGGGGCTAGCGAGTATTTGTTGTTGTGACATTTCTTTTTTTTGGTTTGTTTGTTTCAAGCATCGAGACAAGAGACAAATATGATTCAATTATACGGCATGGTATCAATAGGCATAAAAATAGGCATAAGCATAGTCACACACACAGAATGTAAACACACACACACACACACACACACACACACACACACACACACACACACACACACAAACACACACATACTCGCTACCCAGAATGAAACAGAAAGAGAAATTAAGAATCTACCTTCTCAGAATGACCCCCGATCCCGCCTCCCTTCAGCTTACTCCGGCCTCGCGCGAACAGCCCCTTGGCCGCTTCGCCCGCCCTCCCGCCTAGCACCCCGGCCGAGTGCAGCAGTTCCTTGCCCCGTTGCTCGACCTGCTGTTTATTCATCATGGCGCCTAGCGGGGCGGACGGGCGGCGCGCGTGGCCACCGGCACTTATTCCGGAACCCGAGGGCGCACCGCCGCCGGCGGACACGTCGAGCTGCGAGGAGGACCCGAAATTGCCGAGCGACGAGAGCTTGGGGAATTTCTTGCGGGTGACGCCGCCGCCAGCGCCGGCCCCCAGCTGGGGCGGCACGGCGCCGGTGGCCAGCTTGGCGCTCTTGTCGACGACGTCCGCGTGCTCCGGGTGCGAATGCACGGTGACCTGGATCCAGTGGGCGAGCCCCGTGTCGATGGTGGCGAATTTGGCGCGCGTGTCGTTGAAGGCCTGCACCCGGTCCTCGGGGGTCTTCATCGCCAAAATCTCGCGGAAGCCGAGGAGGGTCGGTTCGACTGAGGCCGGGGCCGTCGGTGTCCATCGCGGGATTTGCTGGTGTTGGTTGTATTCTCCGAAAAATGCTGGTGCGTTGTTGTCTTGGTTCGTGTCGGCATAGCTGTGTGGGATGGCTTCCGCGTGATAGACTTCGGGCAGTTGTCCGTCGGAGATGGTACTCCGATCGTCGGGGACCGGGGGCAGGATGGTTAGTTTGGGCTTTTCGGTTTCAGGCCCGACCGAGCTGTCGCTCTCCTCGGGGGTTTTGTTGAGGGGCTCCTCCTCGCAAGTAACGGTCTGGGCTGGTATGGCTTCCGCTGGTATGGCTTCCGCCGCGGTGGGACTCGTCACCTCAGCCGCCGGAGATGGTAGAACTGGGGTCTCACGGGAGACAGGAAACTGACCCGGCATGGGATCAGGAGGTGACTGCACACCTGCTACCGGCGCAGGCTCCTCGGAGGAGGAAGAAGACTCCCACGAGAAACGTCGTGCTAATTTTGGCTTGGGAGACTCCGTTGCAGGGGATGTGATTGGCTCGGAGGCAGCAGGAGGCAAGTCCTGAACGGTTGATCCCTGCAGGGCAACCGGAGAAGCGACGTAATCTGGAGTTGCCTGATCAAGGGCTATGGGGCTTGTAGTAGACTCTGCAGCGCTCCAATACCTCTCGTATTCGCTAGGTATGAGGCTATCCTGGCGTTCAGCCTCTGGCCGACTTGCGGGCTCCTCTTCTTCTTGCTCCTTAGAGGGGGTGGTCTCGCGACTCAATGTCCGCATAATCTCCTTTCGCAGGCGGTCACTCTCCGTGTCTTGGGGCGAATTGTCGGTGCTCATGGAGGGTATAATGATAGGCACCCCATCATGCGTGAGTGTAGGTGCCGACGTCACAGGATGGGACCCGATGCTCAGAGGAGCAGGGTGATCGGGACCGGGTGCTGCGTCGTGCACAAGAGCTTCCTGCGGCGTTTGTTCGCCTGACTGTGAATTAAAGGAAGACGCGACCGGTGTCTCCACAGACATCTCGCCTGCTGCGGACGGATGGGCGCTTTGAACATTGGTGATCCTAGGGGTCCTCGAGGGGCTGTTGTTTGGACTGGGCAGGCTAATATCCCGACGATGACCCGGTTTGAAGACTAGGGTGTCACTCGCATCCTTGGGCGGGGGTGTTCTCTCGCCCGGCTCCTCCAGAATCGTGGGTGTTTTGATATCGCTCTGGCTCCGCTGCGGTATGATGGGACTGATCACCGAGGTACTATCGCTGTTCGACCGTGCAACACTGTCGACCGTCGTACTGGGGGTGTCAGGTACATCGAAGGCTTGATGAACCACAGAACGGAATCCCATGGACGGATTGTGCTGTAGTTGGTGTTGCTCAGATTCTGGCCCTTGAGCTTCAGAAGTAGAGAAATACGAGTCGCCCGAGAAGTCCGGGGCAAAGCTTGAAAGACGTTCCACATCTGGAAGTTGAATTGTTGGTGTGCCACCTTCTGCTGCCTCGGCTGGGTGAGAGATTTGAAGCGCTTGCGCATCCTGCCCGCCGTCAACAGCGCCTTGCGGTCGGAAAGGCTTGTAGTCGCCTGTCGCGGCCGGTGCTTCGTTGCTCGATGGGAAGTGGAGTTCAGCAGACGTCAAGCCTGGAATAGTTGCTGTCGTTGTCGCATTGGAAGGACCTGCGCTTGACTGAGCGCCGCTGCGATCCTGCGGCACCGCGCCTTCTGATCTCATCCGCTTGTAGATATCGACCGGGCGAACGATTGGGACGGTGCGTGTAGCGGGCTGGACCGGGTCTGCAGGCTGTGCGCGAACCGAATCTCCTCCAAGAGTCGCGACTTGGTCCATCGATCGGGATCGATCCATCGAAGGGAGTGGCGGTCGGGAGACGTCCCTCGTGAACATGCTCGGAAGATCCCCGGTGCTTTGATTCAGGTTGTGTTGCGGAACCGGTGGAGGCTCGTCGTCGTCATACTCGCCGTACTCATCGTCGCCCCAGTCGTTTCCATCGTACGAGTACTTCTTCGCTTCTACCCAGCGTTTTGTCTTTGCTCGGTTGACATTAGGCTTAAAAGATACAGGTGTTTCTCCGCGCGGGACTGGCGACATGGGACTTTCTGTGTTGGAGGAGCTGCAGACCGAGGCGTCGGGATATATTAGTACAGTCCAGTCCAGTGGTGGGCGAAAGGGGTGGCTGCATGGACTCACAGCTTCTGTAGCTCGGGCTCATAGGGCTGAAATGGACGGGCCATTGTTCTCACACGACTAACTACCCTGATCAGCAAGACTGGATCGAGAGCTGATTTCAACAGTGCAGGTGGTGTTTAAAATGGATGATTGGCATGTCCAGTGCCAAGAGTGAATGTCAAAATTGAAACGAGTGACTCCAGTCAAAGGCGCGGTGAGCGCAAGGTGTTGAGCGGGTGTAGATGACGTGGGAGGAAGAGGAGGAGGAGGAGGAGGAGGAGGAGGAATGGAGGCAGTGCGCCAAGAGACGGGGCGGTGCACGGAAAGAAAATCGACGTCGAGATGGGCTGAAGCCGTTGTTTTTAGAAAAATTGGGATAAAGAGCTCTTGAAAGTGAGATCCCACCACAATAGATGAGCTGCGATAACGTTATTTGGGGTGGTTGGATTGATTTGAATTGGATTGAATTGAATGGGATCGGGTATATGATCTCAGCTTCAATCTGCCCCTGATTCCACCCAACCTGAACGGTCATTGGCTGGCTTGATGGCCGCCTACCGTCCCAAAAGGGATCAGCTGTGGCTGGTGTGGAGCCTGGTGGCTAGTGTCAGTGTGGGGTGGCTGGTGTGTGCACGTGGCTGGACTGGTCACTAGTCCTAACTAGTAACTACTAACTAGTAACTAAACCAGTTGGTGAATTTGCTGCATTGCCGCTTTCGCCCCGTCCTCCACTTCCACTTCCTCCCCCATTCCTCTCGTTCATCATGACTATCTCGTTGTAATTCCGCTTCTCTTCCTGTCAACACACTGACTCTCCGCTCCTCCTCTCCTCCCCTACCCTCCCCATCCACTCCACATAACGTGCTCTCAACTACCCCTCTCTCTCTACCTCGACCTCCGTCTCCGCCCCGACAAAAACGAACGGACACGTCTCCAGTTGCCTGCCTCCTTATCGATTAGTCCGGACTCCGTGCCGTACAATCAATCCCCTCCCCATCGCACCGCACCCGACCGTTGGTTCTAGATTCGGCGATTGGCATCCTTTCGACCATCCTCGGAGTATAGTGATTTTGCATCGCTTACTGCTCACGTCCATCGCATCTTCGCTCAATCGACCTCCCCATCCACCTCCCCATCCACCACCACTCAACCAACGACCCTCACACGCACAATGGCCGGCCCGTCCATCCAGGATCGCACGGGCGAGTTCCACGCCATTCTCGGCCAGGCCCAGAAACGCCTTGCCTCCAGCAAAGTCGGCCCTCAGCGCCAGGCCCTCCTGTCCGATGCGCAGCGCCGACAAGCCAATGGGTCCGCCGATGCACAACACCCGGGGAAGCGACGGTCGGAGTTTGCGCGGAGAGCCGTGGAGATCGGACGCGGGATCACGGCGACGACCGCCAAGTTGCAGCGGCTGGCTGAGTGTGAGTCGGCCACCTCCCCGAAACCTTGCAAAGGCTGACTGGGAGAATCTTGGGGTGTTTTTTAGTGGCAAAACGCAAGACACTCTTCGACGACAGACCGGTCGAAATCTCCGAGTTGACCTATGTCATCAAGCAAGATCTCGCTTCCCTGAACCAACAGATCGCCTCGTTGCAAGCGCTCACCCTCTCCCAACATCCGAAGAACACTCGGTCCAAAGCGGACCAGGAAGGCGAGCATAATGATAATGTAGGTCCCATAAAAAATGAAAAAATATACGAGGCTAACGATCAACGCAGGTGGTCGTGATGCTGCAAGGGAAACTGGCCGACGTGGGCGCCAACTTCAAGGATGTCCTCGAAGTGCGCACGAAGAACATCCAAGCGTCGCGCTCGCGCACCGAGAACTTCGTTTCCTCCGTCTCGCAGAAGTCCCACACGGCCCTCGACCCCCAGCGCTCCGACTCCCCGCTCTACAACCCCTCCGGCCGGCGGACGCCCCAGCCCGGCGGCGGCGGCGGCAGCGCGGATCTTCTGACTCTGGAACCCACGAACCCGTCGCCACTGGGCCGGCCGTCGATCCACTCGGACCAGCAGCTCCTCGTGATGGAGGAGGCGCAGACGAACAACGCCTACATCCAGGGCCGCGGCGAGGCGATCGAGGCGATCGAGCGCACCATCAGCGAGTTGGGCGGGATCTTCGGGCAGCTGGCCCAGATGGTCAGCGAGCAGTCGGAGATGATCCAGCGCATCGACGCCAACACGGAGGACGTGGTGGACAACGTGCAGGGCGCGCAGCGCGAGCTGATGAAGTACTGGACCCGGGTGTCGGGCAACCGCTGGCTGATCGCCAAGATGTTTGGCATTTTAATGGTATGTAGCCCTCCGCCCTTTGCTATAACTTTGCAGCGAAATCCACTCAGCTAACCCACCAACCAGATCTTCTTCCTCCTCTGGGTGTTAATATCAGGATAAAGACACCCTTCCCTTTCCCTCAAACACAAAACCCCTCCCCCTCAACATAATGTATTAATACCAGGTCCATGTTCGTGTCTTGCTGTGCCTGAACGAAATCATGTAGTCCTCCTTCCTTTTCTCTATTACACCGCTACACCCTTTCCTTTGTGATATGTGTGTGTGAGTGAGTATATGTGTGTGCATGACCTACCTCACGCAGGGGGCAGGCTTTGCCCGCCCTTCTTCATTCTTGCTTCTATCCAACCCAACCCAACCATTTTGGCCATGGCTAGATCTTCCATGTGCAACCCTTTTCATCTTCCTGCTGAGTGCCCATGTCACTACTACAACGCCAACGCCATCCCCCCAAATCCCTCCCTCCCGTCGTGCTTGACAGTTGAAACGCAAGCATGACTTCATGTGCATAATGGGTTCACGAGTGTCATCGTTGTTGTTGTCTGTCGAGTAAATTAGAATCAATACCTGACCTCTAACAACCCCGCCATTCAACATTCCCCGTTTTATGATTGAAGTATCGGAATAGTAGTAGATTCTTTATGAGCGATGCGGTTCCACTTGAGGTACGAGTAAGAGTATCGAGGATAAGTAAGTATACATAGTACAAGAGGGAGTATATACCGTTTATACAGCTCACCCATATCCCAACCATATCACAGGCTATAGGCTATAGGCTATAGGTCTATAGATATACCTCCCCCTCCCCCTCCCCCACCAAAAAGTCGAACCAACCAACCTACAAACAAACTGCACACCCTAACCGCGGCCCCCCACCATGCAGTACCCTTACCACCTCGGGCGCATGCGCCGCCAGCCCCCGTTCACGGATTGCCCGCTCCGCCGCGGCGAACCAGATCTCCTGCAGCCGGGGCACCATGCCCGAATGGCCGGTGTCGGGGGGGTCGATTTGGTCGTCGCCCACCAGCGCCGCTAGGTAGTCCCCGTAGTCGCGGTGCATGTGCCATAGGAAGTCCATGCGGTGGGACCAGTGGGTGTGGGTTTCGGAGTGGTGGGGGTGTGATTGTGTTTGGGTAGGTGGATGGTCGTTGTGGTTGTTGTTAGGGTTGTGGCTGTGATGGTGCTGGCGCTGGTGGTCCTGCTTCTCCGTTTTCTTTCGGGGGCCTGGCTGCTGTGGGGTGGAATCGTCGGCCGCAACGGCGACGAAGAGATCGACGATGCGTTCGAGGGTGGAGGTGGTGAGCAGGAGGCTGACCCATGTCTGGGAGGAGGTGTAGGGGATGTCCGGGGCCATGAGGTGGCGCACGGTGTGGATGAGGGTGTGCATGGTGTGGTGGGTGGCGAGCAGGACGTCGGGGTCGGTGAAGGGGGGTTCCTGGAGGATGCGTTCCTGGCAGTCCAGGGAGTGGGTCGGGCTGGTGGTGTCGGCGCAGGATTCCAGGAAGTAGACGAGGTAGGTTCTGGGATGCGGCGGATTAGCCTTGACCTTGATGAAACCCGGGGTAGTGAGGGCATACATGGATGGGAGCAGGCGGGCTTGCAGTGCGCCGACGCCCTTGCTGTAGACGAACTCCTTCTCCGTCTTGGAGGAGGCCCATAGCTCCCGCGCCGTGGGATCGGTCTCAAGGTAATGTTGCACCAGGTATTCGGCCAGGTAGAAGGACAGCCGCACGCAGGTCCGCCAGCACCGCGTGAGATCGGTCAGGTAGCCGAACGAGTAGTCGGGCGATTCTTCCAGCGTGCCGCTCGGGGTGTAGTGGGGAGGCGGGGGCGGGAAGAGATCAGATACGAAGGTGAGGTCGTCGCCGATGGCAACGTTGGGTTCCTGGCACTTTTGAAGGTGGTATGGATCCTCTCGCCGCCGATGCTGGAGATAAGCTTTGGCGATAGCAGCCTCATTGTGATAGACCCGCTGGTGTAGGAGGCGGCATGTAGCCGAGAAAGAATGGATCTCTTCCAATTCGCATTGTACCAGGATCTTCACTAGAACATCCACGGGAAGCTTCTCCCAGGCAGTGCGAGTGTTTCTCGCAGGCTTTGAGATTCTATGTTTTGCGTCAGCGGGTGTCACAAGTGGTTTGTTGACATATGGGTCTGCGATTTACATGGGAGATTTTCTGGGCCGCTGAGACGACGGATGCCGTCTGGCTTGCCGCACAACTTGGCGCAGGTGTTCAAGGAAATGGCTCATTGTTAATAGGGGTCAAGACCACCGAAACTTGGTCTTCAATGATGTTCAAGAAGTCCACTTGGCGCTCATTTTGAAAGGCAGGATTGAGATTGTGATTATTCAGCTACTCCATCTGCTTCTTGGGGAAATGCTTAGCCGGATGGAATCAGATATGGGTCCGATCTTCGCTTGGTGGACCCGACTCGCGTTGGATCACCACTCTCTCCAAAATGTGTCACCATGACCCAGGGGATAAAAGATGCAAATCGCTGCATTGAGTTGTGTCAATGCTGAATTTGAGGTGAGGCCGGCCTCGAATTATGCGTTGCAGCGGCTCCCAACAAATCCATGATTCAAACACAACAAGTGCAACAATGTGTACTCCGCGCCAGCCCATCGACCCGAGACGCGATCGAGTGGGGTACGATATCGTCACAGTGGACACCATGTCTCGCATGCTGAAACAGTGGCAACCCCCAATCCTACACGTTCAGGTGTGGATCGCCATCGTTCGTGTACTGGTGCTGGAAATCCTCAAGCAATCGATCCCACTGCGTCCAATCCATGGGGCTGAAATCGCTAACCTGGTCCAGATCAAGGGTCCCGAGTCCCTGTCCACTAGGAAAGACTGCCTCGACGAGCTGATCCTGATCTCGGCTGCTAACGCCTATCGGAGCTCCTTCGTAAGAGATTTCTGCACTGAGATCGTTAGCGGCCAATTGCTGCTTGCCCCGCATGTCGCAGATTGTAGACACAATAGCAGGACATGGAAGAGGAGGCATGCTACAACGAGCCCGCTCCGCTGCATGTGCCTTCCAAGACTTTAGAATCAAGTTCTGCAAAGCCACATTGAACGCTATTCTCTGTTGTCGCGCCTGCAACCTGCGAAAATGTCGACTACAGATCCGGTCGATGAGGAACCATGCCCTGCCCGACTCTTCCCCATCGACACGATTCCGTAACTCATAGAGCATGTGTATCAGCGGTGTCCAGGGAATGTGATTCTCCACATGCCAGTTATACCGCCGGGTGATATCGCTCGTCTGCACCAGATCACAGTTCTCGGCCATGCGCACGCAGTTTGAGAAGATTCGATCTTGATCGGACTGTGAATTATGACTTCCCTGTTCAGCGTGTTGGCGGGGGTGGTGTGCAGAGAAACGGAGCAGAGATGTGATCGCATGGATCACGATGCTAGTCATCTGGTGCAGCGGGATCGAGGTGTCGCAGTATTTCAGGTATTTTGTCTCGTAGATCTGGCTAAGCTCATCAATCGCCCTATCCTTCTCAGCTAGTGAGATTGCCGAATCGCTCAAGAAGCTTTGACCCGTTGGCAAGGGGCCTGACTTTCCCGACCATCGAGCAAGCCACTCGCCAAATTCACAGCGGGCCAGGCAGAAGATCATTTCGGTCGCTCCACTATGTTCACGAGGCCTTTCAGTCATCCGCGGGTCTAGATCGCAGTCGTTGACATTCGCCGGACGCTGCACATCGGCAGCCATCAGAGATGTTTGGGCAGCAATGCCTGTAAGCTGTGCCGTAGTTGCGTCTAGTATACTCAGCTGAAGCCAAAGGCGTCGACGCATTTCGGTCTCGAAGATAGAAAGGCCATGGTGGGAGCCATCTCGATGGAGTCCAACACGCTGTGCCACCCGGATAGCGACACCGCAAAGAGACCAGATTGACTGTGGATCCGAGAATGCTCGCATCGCAAGCTACGAGCAATTGTTAGACATATGACCGACCCGGCTTCAGATACGCACTTCAAGGCAGAAAGACGAGCACCGCCCATAGTTCCATGCATGTTAGAAAACGGGCACGTACCAAATACAACAGAAACGCCTGAAGAACCACAACATCCGACGTGCGTAGAATGCCAGCATTCGAGAGAGCAAGTCGAGCTCCCCGACGGAAGCGAGACAAAAGGACAGCCTTGCTGTCTCCGAAAGCCTGCTGGACGTCATGCGGGGCCATTGAGATCAGCGCGATACAGTATATACAGAACAGAAGCGCCTCGAGCCCTTTCGGGACGGCGCTCAGGTCCCCGATGGCATCGATGATCTGCTGCTGAACTGTGGGTCCATGCAGGATCTTGATCAAGGGGTGCACGTTCTCCAGAAAGACCTGCCAGAGCTTGAAGATGTGCAACGGCTCGGGATGTAAGTCCGTGATCTGCGTCTTCGTGCGTGCACCGAGAATAAGAGAGGACTGGTCATCTGTCCCCTCTAACGACTGGTCCGAATCACTGTAGACCGACGCATCGCGTAGCACGTCCTCCGCGGGTGGCAGCTAGAACGATTTAGCATTCACGAAGAATTGATCCAGAGATTTTTGGTCTTTCCATACCTCGGTGCGGATACTTGACCACATATTTCTAGCCGGCGAGTCAGCCAATCCCATCCCGAGGCATCTAGCATCTGCTACACATGACCTAACTTTAACTTACCCATCGACATAGACCGACCTCCCCCCGTCTGTAATCAACATACCCGGATCATTCCCGGTGGGCGCAAGAGACGTGTTCGACATGGTCATGGGCGAGAGCAGCCCCTGTGTATCACCCCTAGGGCCGGACGAGCCGGTGTCCTGTCTGGAACGTCGGGGGCGCTGTGGACTGGCTGGACGATGGGCCTCATCCGAGGGGCGCCGCTTGCGCCGTCGTGGAGGCGGATGTGCTCGATAAGTGCATTCAGTTCCATTCTTCGCGCACGCGGAGCAAGGGTCCTGGCGATCACATCGGACTTTGCGCCTGTTACAGACCACGCAGGACGGGATTTTGGGCGTCTCGGCCCGAGCAGCTAGCGGGGTCTTTTCGGGGGTACCTGAGTCTACCATTGCTAGATAGAATAGATTCTGGTCGATGTCAGGGCATTTTAGGAGGGTATGAGATAGGGTGATGCTCAACTGCCCCGTTATATGGGCGATTTTGGTCGGAAGGGTTGGGTGGGATGGGGAGAGGTGCGGATGGTGGTGTTGATGTGGTCGGGTCTGCGGATATATTTTAGGGGAGGCTCCGGCGCGACAAATCAACAAGGCCTGGGCCATCCGACGGATGAACCTAAATCTCGAAGGCCCGACATTCAGGTCAACTTTCCAGATTTGCTCATGATAGATTTTCGGTATTCCCGAGCCAATTCAATTCATTCGCTGCATGAGAAAGTATAAAGGTCTAGCAACACATCAGATTGCGATGCTTTTCCCCAAAAGGGCATATCGACACCGTGAATAGAACACGCCAGGATTCAAGCTTTAGACTAAAAATGCAACTACTTCCATCTCATCTGCCCAGCAGATCCAAAGATAGGCGCTGACAAACGATAAACACAACAGAACTAGGCAAAGCGACAGCCTGCGTTCCTTTCAAGTGGGGTATTCAACACAGAGAAATATTCATAAGTCATCACGGCTGCATCCGCAACACGAATACAGGTCCCGTTCACCGTGTCGGGATAAAGTGCTGAGAGTCCTTCTCCTGCTGACTGAACGACTCTCGGAATGCAGCAATGGCAGCAACGATGGCGATCGCGATGAACGCGAGGGAAATGAAGGACCAGAGGACACCCCAGCACTGCGAAGAGCCACCGTACCGCTTGGCGAACTGGCTGGCGTCCGAGGTATTCACTTTGCGAAGGATCAAGTCGTCACACTATCCCGAGAACAATGATCAGTACCGAACGAGGCAAACGAATGCACCACGACCACTTAGAGCAAAAAGAGACTTACAATATCCCAGACACTATAGAGGGCCGACATAACACCGATGAAGAGCTACGTGGCAGATCCAATCAGCCGCGAATTCCCCCCTCTCAATTCAAGGGAAAGACCTACCACCACCCATTTCAGAGCCTGGCCATGGGCGATGAACCAACACGCGACCAGCAGCCCCACGGCCAGGAGAATCGTGACGATCGTGAGCCAATCCTTGCGCGCCCACCACAGGGTGAGCAGAAAGCACACCCCTAAGACGATGCTGGCGACCTTGCTGGCGACGATGTCGAACCCGGCGAAGATCAACAGCGATCCGATGATCGAGGAGCCCAGATAGCCGGCGGGCAGGGTCACGGCGCTGATTCCGCCGGACATGTGCGTGACGCCGCCCTCGTGCGGGTCCAGCGAGATGCTTTTGACGCGGCCACCGGTGCAGCATGCAGTGATGGCGTGGCCGAACTCGTGGAATGCGATGACGAGCATCTTTATTTTTGGTTTCGGTCGCAAGTCAGCAAGAAGAAACCCCCGAGGAAGGCAAGATTGCAGCAAAGTTCGGCGTTCGTTGAATTTCTCCTCACCTTGAACGGCCAAAGCGACCAGCGAACATAGGGCAGATTCCAAAGCAACGCAATGACGACAACGTACGCTCCCATCACCCCGAGGGTCACTGCCTGGGCGTGGGTGACGCTGAGATCGCGCTTCATTAGATGCGGCCCCGCTGAGTGATAGGACCGCTGATCGAGGAGCATGTAAGACGGTGCCATGGTGGATGGAAGACTGTCCTTGCGTAGTAAAAAGGTACGGAGTAGTCTGTATTCTGTCACGCAGAGTCAAGAGAGCCACCGCAGAAGGCGTTCAAAGAAAGTATGAGTATTTATCTGTCTAGAAGTCTGGGCTCTCTTTTCCTCACATGAGCGAGCGGGTTTGGCTGCCTACGCGTTCTTTTACTACCCGGCGTGTAAATTCTTTACCCGACTGGGTTTAGCGTGTGGCTGGGGCACGGGGTACGAGTATTTTTAGTTCCGCTTTTTACGTGGCGGTGGACAATGGAAGAAGCTGTTGCTTGCATTCTCTGCACGGCAGATGTCATTCAAATTCTTTTATTCAAGAAGACAAGTGTGTAAAGACAACAATCTCCTTATATACCGACTGTACGTATCACAATCCCATTACAACGACATGGTCAAGGCCTACAATCGTTTGAATGATAAGGATGGTTCTACTGCCCCAATTTTCAGGCCCAACCTTTTAAATCGATCCACCCCACCCGCCGCTTAATGTCCGAACTCCACAACTCTATGTTCTCTGGTTAA